GAACTATGGCAGCTATTGTCCAGCTAAGAAGTGAAGTGATGTATTCCAGAGCTCCAGATTAGGACTCTAATACATTTCCAGTCTGGTTGTTAACAATGGGACCAAAGTATGTCAAAAGAGATTGAAAGTCAATGCCTCATAAAACATGGGGAGAACAAAAGGAAGAGTGAAAGAGTGGAAGCACTATGTGGTCTCATTGCCCTATAGGGCATCAAAAATGCCCTGCTCTTTAGACTCTGCCCTCACTCAGCTGCCACAGTTACCAATGAATTAGCATCAGGAGCGTTTTTATATGCATGCCAAACAGGGAATCCTCCTGCAAAATGGAAATAAACAGAAGATTCCCATTTTTAAATATAAATGTGAACGCAAAGGAGGGAAATAAATTCAGTATTTTTTCATGTAAAGAGCATGAAAATGACCCAGGGGAGAGCTTTCAAGGCAGTAGAAGAAACATTGTTGTAATTATGCCTTCAGTGAATATTCTACACATTCATCCCTTTTGTTTTGTACATGGAAATGTTCTCATGAATCTTCTGGTATGCTTCTGGATGAAGCTGTCACTTCCACTGTCTTTTTCTGTCTCTCTGTCTTTTTTATGGATACACACTGAATCTAATTCATCACTATCCAAGTGTAATTATGGAAATTTCTGGAGATTTGTTGGGAGTTCTGAAACAGCAGTCTGCCATTCTACAAAAGATCCAATAGTCTCTGCAGAGAGGTGCAAAAATTTTCATATTAATACCGGAGCGTGTTGATGCTTTTGACAATTTTCAATATTTTAACTGCTTAACTGAAAATTCATTCAACATTTGTCATTACTGCATACAAGTACATTCATCAACACTGACGGTGTTCAATACCTACGATGTTTCAGGATGTGCTTTCGCAACAAAAGTCTTATTTTGTACCCTTCATTTCTGTACAGACTGACACATGTTATGTCTATATAATTTCAGGAAAAATAAATCCCTTGCTTATTTATTGACTTTTTATTTGCGTACCATATAATTCCTTCCTTAAAGTGCACAGCCTTTTCTTTCCACTGCCAGTGAAAACCTCAGAGTTGATATTTATCACTGGTTTAAAAGCCAGACTATGATTTTAGAGCTTGCTAAAAGAATCAAAGGTTGACTTTTTTCACCGTCCTTAACCTTTGCCTCATAATTCATTGCAAAATGTTGACACAAATTTTCACATCCTGGGTGCATGTATAATAGAGTAAGGCTATGTTTCAGGAGGTGTTTGGTCATTTATTTAGCTCTTTCTTAGTTTAAAATGAGTTTGAAAGAGAGGGTGCCAAACATAAGGCCCATGGGCCAAACGCAGCATGCCAAAAAGGTCCTGTCCAAACTGAGGGGCTTTGCAAAGTAAAAGAAACTGCAAAGAATCCATTAGCAATTCCAATAAAAAAGAAAATGCACTGAGATTTCTGATGTGGTAACAATAAAGCACAGGAATGGAAATGCATGGACAGGCGGACACGTTTCTAGATCACAAGTTGTTTGAATCATAGAGATGTAAAATACAAGTGCTGATGAGTAACAAAGTGCTGATCGGATATCTGGATCGGATATCGGACCGATACTGACCCAAAAAGCTGGATTGGCTATCGGTGACAATGAGCCGATCTATTCAGTTCAGTTCTATGCTGTTCCGAGTTTACTTCATCACTGGACGGCGGGAGCTATCGGCAGAGTTAATGTAGCATGGAGGAAGCTAACAGCAGAAGGACAGCAGTTTGGAGGTATCTCACGCTGCTACACCAACAGCTTCTATCTGTATGTCTGCAATGATTTTTCACTTCACTGCAAACTGTGGTCAAAGTGAGCTGACAAGAACGAAAAAGCTCCAACAACGGGATGCTGTCTCTCTCTCTCTCTCTCTCATCAGTCTCTCCATCGCTTGTTTATTTTACTACTTACATTCAGTCAGAGAAGATAGTTGGGTGAGTGCAATACTTGTTGTTGAGCTATTTATGGTGTTGTCAACAGTATTAAATATTATTTGACTTCAGTTGTCTCCTGAGGAGAAAGTGCACTGGTGTCACTTCAAATGACAGCAGTTTGAAATGACACCAGTGCACAATAATGCAAATAAATTACTGTATTTATCCTGGGCCTGTTTTCATTTATTATTTCATCAATAAATACAAAAGAAAAAAGCTCTAAATTTATATTCTTGGATATATTTATATTTGTGACATCCAAGCTGTGTAAGAATGGTTCCTAATCTCTTCCTGACAGCCAGATTATTAATATGATATAATAATTAATACTGACACTCGGTAGACAGTACTGTTATTGGTATTGGTATCAGATCAGAACCGGAAACAGCTGGAGGGTTCCAGGTCGACTCTTGGATATGTCTTTTTTTTTCTGCATTGCAGATATAATACCAGGAGAGTAATAATTAAGTGGCATAATTAAGACATAATGGTTAATTATTGATAAATTATTTTTAAAGGCCATTTTTTGTTGAATATATTAGTTATTACATATTGGTTTTAACTGCCAAGCCATCTTGACCTTAAATTGGTCTGCATGTGACATAAGAACTAAAATTACTTTAAGTTAACAAAGCGTTAAAAGTGTTTGCATTTTGCAAATACAGCCTTTCATTCTGTTACACGGGACCTTTAAATCTGATCATTTATAATTTAGCTACAACTAAAACACAAAGAAAGAAACAGTTAAAAACCCACCATCATGTAAACCCAGATCGTTCACCCCATGCAAAAATAGATGCTATAAAGAGTATTAGTGAGCTTTACAAATGCTTGTTAGGAGGATTTAGTTAACATTATAGAGAGCCTGGCTCGCTTATCACCTCCTTTTCCAGTGTTTATGCAAAGCTAGGCTTGCAGGCTGTGGCTTTAAGCTACATGTTTAGATTAAGGGTAAACATTAAAAAGTGTAAAAAGCATTCCTTTAATTATTTCAACATGGATTCTCATTGAAATTGTTTATATTGTGAGATTGAACGCATCCAATATACAATAACGAAAATAGTTTGTACCATTTTAAAGAAACGTTTGCTAATTCTGCTACTGGTCTTTATCAATTTACAGTGTTGTGCACTCTTACTGAAGCTGTGCCGCACTGTAAGAAGCTCGCAGCGTGATGCTCAACACAATGAGCAGATCGATACGCTAACATTCCCTCACAATGCCGACAGCATCACAGCAGTCTCTCCGCATTTCTCCCTTCTAACTCCCTCAGCAGCCCAGCTCCAAAAAAGCATCTCTCACATAAATCAAGCAAAAGCCTGAGAGCTCAACGGGCCCCAAGAGCATGGTGATCACCCCGACACACCCCCCGGTCCCCTGGGCTGCCTCAGCCCTCAGGAACCCACAGCCTGGAGCACAGTCCCTGCCAGTCCGCCACGGCACACTGAGTGGGTCCTGATTGGCGGCGGAAGGGAATGTCACAGATGCATGTCACTTTGATTCAGTGCCTGCAGACCAATATGTGAGAGGCAAACGGATGCAAGCTGTGAAATAAACAAATCAATATTTTTTAAGAGCCACTGTTTTGTGTACAAGCCAGTATCCTAGAGAACTGCTTTGTATACATCTTTTTTTTAAAATGCAGCAGTGTCATACAATATATGGCCCTGATAAAATTTCTGCTACAGTATGGTATGTTGGTGTTATTGCAAAAACCGCCAAAAATGCCCACTCATTTGTAAGGCTATGTGTTTTGGGGTTTTTTTTCGTTGTTGTTGTTGTTGGGCAATATTGTACACAGATGGTACAGCTGACAAGGCTACACAACACACACAATTTACGTAAGTGTACTATCTAAATTAAATTCAGGGTTTTTTTGTTTTGTTTTTTTTTAAGTCGGGGCTGTCTCATGGAGGAAGTCTCATCATGCTACAGTCTACCTGCTAACCTAAAACAATGCCATGTATGAAGATTTAATTTTCTCTTCTAACATCTGTTTCCATTCGTGCTTGCTGAAGTGGAGAGACACGGAAACCAAACCAAAAAAAGGAAGTGAGCAAAATCCCGGAGTTTGACAAAACAAAAACAGCAAGGATTAGAGACGAATTCGTGTGACGAATCCAAAAGTTGAATCCCTTTTGCATGCGACACACACGCAGGATTGCTACCAAAGCACTGTGATGACAGCAAAATCTCCTGACGGGAAAACAAGGGGATATAGAGTGCACGCTCAGATGAGAGGATACATCACCCAACCGTGTAAAGAAAAAAAGGCATTTAAAGGTAACAGCGTGATGAGTGCAAGCTACACGTGAACAGGTTATCAAAGTATGCTCCAAACTAAATGATGTCAACAGGCAAAGAAGACAATATCTCTTTTCAAAGCAAATGCGACGAGCTTCTCACAGCCTTCTCGCAGACTGCTGAATATCTTTGAAGCTATCAAATAGTATAATATTTCTAGAAAGGTACACCGGCATCAAACTGAAATTCAAAAGCAAGACATAAATCAATCATAAAGTTTAAACTAACCCAAAATTATCAATGACTCCTGGGTGCATTTCATTTTGAATAAGCTTGATAACTAAAAATACCAAGAACGCAATAAGAAAAAGCAACTCCTCTCGAACCACACAAAGAAAATGTCTTACCAGGTTTCATCATTTTTGAACTCAAGCTCTCCGTACGTATCTTCAAAGTCCTCTCCTCCTCCTTTGGCAAGTCCCTCCACAGTGCGATAAGGCACGATGACTGTCCCCCTTGCCCCAGAAGTTCTCAACACTTTGACTTCCATGATACCGATGCTCTCACTGACATGGGCTGAGTTACTCTCAAAGGTGAAGATGCCTGAATGATCATCGTCCAGAATGGTCACAGTGGCCACAGTGGGGAACCCCAACACCGCCTTTGGATATGGGAGACTGTTGGCAGACAACACCTCATCCTCAGTTTCCAAGACGCGCAGATTACTGAGACGTACAAAGAAGTGCTCGTCCTCTTCGAAGATGTCATCATCTATGATGCCAATGCTTATTTCCTTGATCATCTCTCCGGGTTTGAATACTACCGTACCCTCTGTGAACTCATAGTCTGCCCCGGCATTAGCCGAGCCATCCTCCGTCTTATAATCCACGTAGATAGTCTTATTGATGTCGCCTCCTTTTCTGGTGATGGTCAGAATAACGGCCCCGCAGTTCTCGAGGCACTGGTAGACAGCAGGCTCAAAAGCGATCCGGGAAACATACTCTTCTGGTTCTTCCACGTGCACCTCCTGCACGCTGGCGCTCTTTTTCGCCTGTTCTGCTACGTGTTTTTTCAGGATATTTCCAGCTCCGGTCATCATGCGCGTAGCTTGAATGCGGTAAAAGGCACGGCTCTTTTGCTGGTGCGAGAGAGCGTAATAGTTGGCCATCTCAACAAGCTGATCCAACTCTTTCTCTGGGTGCTTCTGCTTCAGGTCTTTCAAGATGCGAATCATATCGCGTCGGGACTCATCTACCTCTTTGCTCTCAATCAGACCAATCAGATTGCTGGTCGCACCTCCATCCATGAAGTGAGAGTTAACCATCTTGCCGTCCATTTCAATCCCCTTGGAGCGTTCGGTCTCGGTCTCAATGATGACAGCCCTATTTTTTTCAGTGCGGTACTTCTTGTGCATGAACTTATAGAAGAGCAGTCGTCTGTCTGCCACCCATGCGAGGAGTACACATATGGGGAAGAAGGCCAGCGTGACTAGACCCTCCCAGACTTGGACTTCATTGGGAGAAAAAACAGCCAGGATCATGTAGAGCCAGATGTAGGCAAAGATACTCCAGCCTGCAGTGACAAAGAACACTCTGAGGTGCTTGACCTTTCGTACCTCGCCTTGGGGGATGACAGACACGCAGAGGCCAATGATGACAAACATATTGAAAGCTGCACTGCCAACGATTGTGGAGGGCCCAAGCTCACCAGATTTGAATTCATGTCCACAAACTTCGATTACAGAAAGCATGATCTCAGGAGCCGACGAGCCCAAGGCCATGAGGGTAAGGTTGGAGACCGTTTCATTCCACACACGGATCGTGGTGGTGGTTGTTTCCCCATTGGGCCTTTTGATAACAATTTCTCTCTCTTGGGAGGTGATGACCTCAATGGCGGCCATAAAACGGTCAGCAATGATGGATACTCCGAGGAACATGTAGATCAGTGCCACGAAATAGACAATGACCCGTGCAATCTTGTCTCCCATGGAAGGATCCTCGGGATACCAGATGGGCAGGATAATCCCTGTATGACACTTTGTGTTCCCTTTGCAGGTGCCATTGCTGGGGCTGAGCAGAGGGCTCGGAGTGGTCCGGGCCTCTGTACAAAGGAAGGCTACAGCCACAGAGACCAGCCCCAACCAGAGGCAGGCTGAAGACCCTGGTTTTACAGGCTTTGAGCCCTCCATGCACCCTCCTTCGTCTCAAGGGTCCTTACCACACTGACAGTCCCTCTGGGATCCAGCACTGGGCTGTGTCTTTCCTCTGCCCACCACCTAAACACACCAGACAGAAACAACAGATATTATACAGTTTATTACAAGAATGAAAGACTTTATTTTCAGCCTCTTCAGCAACTGTCCCACATTGCTTTGTAAGCTTTTTTTTGCCTTGAATATTTTTAGTACCAAATAAATATTATTGTACTAGGGTACAGTGCATTCTCAATAGTTGCATAATAATTTAATATTTAATGTAATGACATAATGGAAGGAGTATCCAACCTCAGGGTATTTTCACATCGTTTTAAACTTCAAGTGGTACAAGTCTGCAAGACTGTGTTTGCATTTCACGGGGAGAAACAAACACGAACTGAAGCAAGAAAAGAATTTCTTAATTTTAAATGAGCGCAAGAATTCAAATTATCCAACCATCCTTCTGTGCGGCTTAATTGGGTTTCTGCTTTCTACTTCACAAACACCATTTTCATGAGATCTTTATGTTATCTCCGAAAATGCTCAGCGATTCAGGTCGGTAAATGAATATGTGAGCAATGCAGACAACATTAGTTTAATAAAATTACAGCCTGCGGGCTCATTCGCAATCATAAACTTTATTTTGATTTGAGATGTGGATACATGCAACAAATAATGTGAATTTGAGCATGATTGTCTGAAATCTCTCGGGTAATACACAGCTCTGAACCGAACAGCTCGCTCAGCAGGCATGCAATGTTGCCAAACTAAGCACTGTCCAAAATGTCGCATTGGCAAAAAAAACAGCAGCAGGGAGGCAGGAGATTGTCAAGAGGCAAAGTGAAACAAAGGCTACAGATGTCCCATCCAAATTCATTATACACTGAGCCCTAAACGCGCACTTACCACTTCTGCAAGAGAGAGCAGCATTACAATAGCAATGCAGACACTGTCCAAATTAATAAAAGCCCTAGCTAAGCATTTTACGCACCTCTTCAGCTCTTATGAGATACGACTTGACCATCCTTCTGATGCTAACAGCTGGGGCCTAAGGCAGCAGGAGCATAATGAACAGTTGACCACCCCAAAACTTCGATGATATAACACAGGGGGGAATTATTATAAAGGCTCTCTCCTTGGTGTTACCCGATTGTTTAACGGTTCAGTGAGTTGGATGGGACCCTCTATGCAGCCTCCACAACACTTCTGGACCTCCTGAGGCTCACAAGCAGTTTAGTCTGAATTAAAATGATCTCTTAAGAGAGATACATGCAGGGTAAGTTAATAACGCTACCCAAAATTCACCAGGGGATTACATTTTTGTATTACTGTCACACTTCCCTTTGTGTTTGTCGAGCTAAATCTAGTTCAAGTCTTTTTTCAATTTGTACACAAAAAGTGCATTCTTAGGTTCTGATTCCTGCTTAAAGGGTTGATTACCTCTGGGGCCACCCTGCACTAAAAAGTGTACAATACAAACCCATGGCACTTTAAAGCACTCTCAGAAAAAAAAAGAGATCCATTTAAGGACATATTTTATGCAATGTAATGCACCTTTCTTATTTGATTTAGCTCATTCAATCTGAAAGCCTCTTACAATAACACCAACTACTTGAACTCCCGGGTGATGTTTTTGGATATGATATCATCCGGGTGGACCGCTGGCTAATTTGGAAAGCTGAAAAAACTTTTATTGGAGGTGTGCATAGCAAACAGTTGGTGGCATATTTTAAAAAGTACACCAATTTAAAAGCCAAATATTGGATAGGACAATGGTAACCCACACCTTCTGTGAAATCTGCAAGAAACTGGGAAAATCTCTGTCAAGGTCTCGTGTGCAAGCGTTGATAAGATCAATTCATCTATTCTGGAATAAATTATCCTTAATATCTCTAATTTAATGGTTCACAGGTATAAATAATTGCATCACTTGCAGTACTATAATGATGTCTTTTTGAGAGATCATAACCTCAATAACATCCACAGAGATGAGTCTTTTTAGAGGTGATACAGAGGCAATCTCAGCTCGATGTAGCAATCCTCTGATGTTAATGTTAAAAAAAAAAAAAAGACGTTGATTGCAGCACAGCACACTGATCTGGAGGATAGAAAATGGGATGACAGCAAACGGCAGCAGAAGCTGGAGACAAGGAACTTAAATTTAACTGAATCAGCAGAGCCATTTATATGGATTGGAGCCAGCAATGCAATCCCTGGGAGAACCAACAGCGCCGAGCACAAACAAAACCAACAGGAGAATAATTGAGTGGCAAAGTTATAACTTAGCGAGAGAAAATTTGAATTTAAAAACTCAGGTTTTTGCCTTTGTTTGGACCTGGACACTGATGAGAGTAAACTTGGGGGGGAATTAAATAAAATATGTGTGCATTCCCCTTGTTAGTGCTATAAATCTCTAATAACACGTACTAACCATTTAATTTAAAAATGTGAAAATGGTCAAACTGACAAGCAGGTATTAAAGTGCTGCTGAAGCCACTGAGAAAGGCTTAAGGAGATGCTTCTTCCTGCTTTAAAATCAAGAGCAGTACTGCTGAGCTGCTAGCTTCTCCTTGTCTTTTTATTGCATGGTGACAAGCTGGGGTGGAGGGGTAAAAACTGCAATGAGGCACACAGGATTTAAGATTACAGGGTCAGCCTCTCTGCATGATACATGTTGGGAATGGCAATAATTAATTCACACTGCTGTTTCCATAAAGAAATAAAAGCTGATTTGAATGAATGGTTATACCAAAAACAAATTTAAAAGTTTTAAGGGACATATTCATTATGTTGCATTACCTCTACTTTTAATAAGACTGTGTATGCTTTAGGAACAGGCACAGACAGGCCAGGTGAGTTTCACACCTGGCCTTTTACAGTGGGGCCATGCTGTTGTAATGCATGCATGGTGTGCTTTTGCGCTGCTAAAACAGTCAAAGCTTCCCCTGATAAAGATGTCAAATTCAAAATCTCTCTGACCAGACCATATTTAACCTTTGCACACAGCGGAAGCATTTCTGGAAAATGTTTATGCATGTTTTTCTCTTTCAGTGAAAGAGTTTTAACTTGTATTTGTGATGCAGTGATGAACTGTGTTCATTGGCGCTGCTTTTTGGTGATTTCCACAACAGAACGTTGGCTGTTTTTAAAGACGCGCCATCCGAAATCCCAAAAATCAAGTCCACTTTGTTTTGCAATAGAAATTTTTAAGGATTCTGTGACTTTTGTTAAATTAAATGATTCTGTACTTGTTAAACTGTCATTCTTTGTCAAATACCACAAAGCCTGGCTGCTGCTATACCCTGCCCTGCTATTAGACCCCTTTGCAAATGTAAATTCAAACCTCACAAAGACAACTTGTTTCAGATTCCCAAAACAGTTTTTAGCCTTTTAGATGTCACCAGATTTCCTGTTTTTTTAAAAAAAAATGATTTTATATACTTTCTGAGATTAAATCCCCGAAAAGTCCTTTCCATTTGGCTATGCAGTCTTTCACAGAGAGATGAAGCCCACTCATCTTTACCTCTTAAACGCTCAGGCTCTCTGGGATGCTTTTTATACCTTGTCTTGTTACCTATTAACCTGCTTTGTTGTGAAATGTTCCACCAGGTGTGACAGTCTTTTGTTGCACTTCTGCAATCTATTTTTTAAATGTGCTGCTTGCTCAAATTTGCCCTAAGCACATATTTTTTAGAAAGAAATAACGATAGAGTTTCAGCATTTGATACTCCGTCTTTGTATTATTTTCAGTTAACAGACTTTAAATAATTTGAAATCCGCACACTGTTTTTACTGTGTATCATCTTCTATTGTGTCAACTCAAAATCAGGTCATGAATTTAAAAAGTACATTGCCTGTCCAACTTATTACTGTAATAACTCCTGTGGGAAATATATTAGCTGCTAAATGCTGCATTATATATCATCGCTGTTTATCTCCAGTGTTGTGCTGAACAGGTAGAGCGCAGCTGGTTCTCGGAGCTTTTTCGCTCAAATCAGCTGAAAATTACACTGCAAGAGCTGTGCAGATTACACCGCTCTTATGGGGTAATTTTCAACACTTTCAAAACGATAAAACCAGATCACGACCAACAAAAAAGGGGTAAAACGCTGGTGTGATGATTAGCACTGTCGCCTCACAGCAAGAAGGTCCTTGCCTTTCTGTGTGGAGTTTGATTGTACTAGCCAGGCCTGTCTGGGTTCTCACCGGGTACTCTGGCTTCTTTGCAAGGCCAGAGGTTAACTGGTGATTCTAAATTGGCCGTGGTTATGAGTGTGAATGGTTGTTGGCCCCATGACAAATTGGCGACCTGTCCAGGGTGTACCCGACCTCTCAGCTTGTGACAGCTGGTGTGAGTCTCCAGCCCCACTATGACCTTGAATTGGATAAGCAGAAGAAGACAGATGGATGGACCAAAGCAAGAACAGACGGGCCCTGCAGAGTTAACTGATAATTTGCTGTTGATTTATTGCTACAAATGACGCCTTTCATTCATTGCAGTTAATATAAAATTATTGATTCTAGCTGCTTCCAATGAGCTGTGATCCCCTATGATTTTAACACTTTGCTGTCATTTCCTGCAGCTTTAATTGAGGCAGCGGCACTCTTGTGCCTCCAAGTGTAATGTGTGTGGAAGGGGAGTGATGAAAAACACTCAAATGTGTTCAGTCACTCTGCCTTGGATAAACAGAGGTAAAACAAAATGGCAAACAAGCCAAATACCCACGAATCCAAGAGCAAACTACCAGGCTGACAGAGAGGTTTTAAAGATATAATGCCATACAGTGACACTGGACACAGAGAGTCAATTGCTTGGTAACTGCCTCCTGTCTTATCCCATTAGACTTATAAATTTCACAAGCTGAATAAAATCATGCTCGGAAAAAATATTTCAGCTGTAAACCACAGTCGTGCTCATTTTCATGCCTCCCAAAAGACAAATAATAAACACTTGTACTTTTCTAAGCTGTAGATTTTGCCATTTTAAGGGCACAGTCATTCCTTATGCATGTAAAAATTCCTTCCTCGCATTTGCAGCCCTAAAAGCGAGGAGCTGATTGATTGACTCACTGACTGACTAACCGAAGACACAAAAGTACATAATCTTAAGGAATAAAGTAAAGTTCATTACAGTAATTACATTAAGCACTCAGAGAGACTGTTCAGGTGTATGACCCCGCGAGGATTTTGTTTTTGAAATATTGATTTTCTATCTTCACACAAATTGCATTCGGGTGCTGTTAGGCAGTGGAGATTTAACCATCCCATTACTCTACGTGCATCACCATTAGAACCGTGACCCCTAAATTAGGAGCTACACAGAACAATTTGCATACTAATTACTGTTTTAAGGATTGTATTTTGCATTGTGAACGCAGGGGCATTTAATCGAGGCCGTTCAGCAGCTCCCGAAAATGTGCTAAAAATGAACAGATAAGACCAAGTTATTAACATATGCTGGACATTAGCATAGGAAACCACATCACAAGTGACATTTCTAAATTAAGGCTAAAGATCAGATTTGACGTTTTCCAATTAAATCCAACAGTGACCTCTTCAACCACAAACAGTTAAGAGTGAAAACATTTCAACTCCATTCACACAACTTTGAAACACTTTTTACTTCAAGAAAATGAAGTTCAAGTGATATTCTGAATATGCAGAGTTCTTTGTGTATGTATATAATTTAACTTGATGGTGAAAAATCCAAACGTCTGATCTACATATGCCAAACACATTTAATAGACGAGGCACTGATCTAGATAATTAACAACAAATATCGAGTCATCCTATTGTTGCTACTGCAGATTAAATGCAAACAGATTGTTGGCTTCATTTTGAGGAGATTTTAAGATGAAACCTACAGGACCGAAAACCAAACAGAGACTACTATCAAAGGACAACAACAGCATAGCCTAAAACTGATTTCATTTTGCTAAGATTAGGCAGTCCTGTCAACTTTTAGCAACAACCTTTAGGAAAAATTACCTAAAACATGAACTGAAAGTGTTACAGATATTTATTATCAATGGGCAGCCTCCAGTTAATCAGCACACAGGCCAGTGTTGCACAAAATCATCATTTTAGTGTTTTTTGTTCTTCTTGTTAAAGCTTCTAAAAATGTCAATTTGTTGTTTTCCTTAAATTGAACAGAATATATTTGTTAGTTTTATTTTGAGCTTTTTCTTAGATGTCAAATCCGTTTTTTAGTAAACAATTTGTGGATTATAAAACTGTTTTAAAAAAAGTGTCCAAGTATACCATGCGGGGTTTAACAGAGAAATGCACATTTTCTTATCATGTGCATCATATAGTAATCACTGTGCACCCCCTTCTATATGTCCTGACAGATGCAGATAGCATTATGGACGAGACAGTTGCTCTTTCTCTATTTTGGGAAGAGGGGTCTTGTTTAAGGAGGCTATCTGAGATCCGTGAAACATGGACTCAGCAGACAGGGAGCCTCAGCTGTTGCTGATTAATCATCAGAAGGCCGTTTCGCTCTCCGTACCAGTGTCAGTACTACCTGAGGGGGGAATCCCTGCTGGAGAGACTATAGGCCCGCCGTTTAACTTAAAGTGTGCATGCAGGCCTGGGCTGCACATGTCTAGGAGACACTGGTCTTCAGATATTAACTCCAAATTGAGACACAGCGTACAGGAGAATCCGGGATATAAACGTAAACATAAAAGCACATACGTGAAACTCGAAGTCCAGCTGTTCAGCCAATCACCAGCAATGATGAGCTCGGCAAGCTGTAACAACCGGTATCCTTCAGTTGCGTTGCCAGACGCCAATTATTTTAATGGCACACCCATTAGAGTGTATCACGAATCCATTTCAGTCCGTTGCAATGGATCATATCTGCACAATCACGAGGAGCAGTGTGAGCGGACAGACAGGTTAAAGCCTGGGCAGCATGAAGCGCTCCGGAGTGACAGACCGCATCCAGCTATCGCCTGTTTTTGCATCTTAAAACGCATCTAATGTGATTCGTGTTCAGCAGTATATTATATTTAAAATTCTGTCTTTGTGTCATACCAAGTTGCCCTCCATGTCACGAAGACTAGGTTCTATAGACATACCTGCGAGTTTGAATCATGCCTTATTCATTGTAACCTACCTGGATTTGTATTCCGGGGAGTTTAGCGACTGCGAAATAGCTCCTGTCCGCCCCCTTTATTATTGTTTTACCGCGCAGATCAGCCTGCCAACAGTCTCAAAATAACCTCGCTGTTTGGATCTCTTTAGTCTAACGTGCTCCTCGGACCAAAATCCCCCAGTGATGCCGCTGTCTCTGTCTCCAGCCTGCTCGAGATTGGTGATTGGATCAAACTGGCCAGAGGTGATCGCCTTTGGTCTTCTCCTGCCTTGGCGCCCTCCTGCCCAGATCCTCCCCGTCTGACGGATTGACCGGGTCGCAAAGCTGTCAGTGACAAGGGAGGAGGAGGAGGAGGGGGGTGGTCAGTATTTTAAGGTTGCAGCCTTGGTGGAGATGGATCCTCTTAGCCTGTCCGCACGGCTCTCCCTCCTCCTGCAAGCCGTGAATCAGCGCTCTCCTCCTCCTCCTCTCTCTCGGCTGCGATAGCGCAAGAAATCTGTGATGTGGCTGTTAGAGACACTGGCGTAAAGCTCCCCGCCTGCTGTCTTCGCTACAGATGTGACATCGTGTGTTCATGGAAAGCTCAGCTGTGCATCCAGCTCTCTGAGTTGTCAGGGCTCTCTGCTGGACTTGGCGCACCATCGGAATGACCGCGGTGTGTCTCCTGTGCGCTCCCCTCAAAGTCAGTTTCTGCAGCTTGCAATAAAAGCTGGAGATGAGTGTGCCGTCCTCGCGTGAGTAATATTTTAAAAATTTGTATAGTTATCAATATTAGAACCACTCTCACGCGATGATGATGTGAAATGGTTGCGCCCTACAGCCCTCCGCCCCCCATTTCTAAAAGTCACACAGACAGACTCGGTTAGGCGCGCAACTACGTCACCATCAGCTGAGAGAAGAAACCTGCAACACAAACCGCGAATCTCTTCCAGACCCACAGTCCGCTGCTGCTAAGAATGAGAGGAAGGGGATAATCGAGAGGTAGGAGATCACAAAGGTTTTGACACAAAAACTGATTGCTGTTTTTTCCTGTTTGTTTTTCTTTTTATTTTGTAGTTCTTTAGACCATTTGTTAACTCTAGCAAATACAATATGCCACAGAAGCGAGAGGAAAATTACTCTGGCTGGCCACATCCCACAGATACAATAGAAATAACGCGCGGATACGCTGGATACGTGTATATGATATGATGGACTAATCTTAACAATTTCTTTCCATCTTATGAGCATTATTATATAACCTACAATGGCTGTAGGCGTGCACTTAAAGAGCCAACTTAAAATACCAGCAAATATTAAAGGCCCAACACATCAGCACACGTGTTTTACTCACACAAACACGGAGTCTTAACTTACTTTGTTATGTCATGATGGCTGATCTCAAAGACGAAGTTATCAGCCAATGCTTCCCAGCTTGGTTAGTAGAAGCTACAGCTGAATCCAAGCAGGGCAAGTGACAAAAATGGCAGTTCCCCTAGGTGCCACTAGAGGCTGCCTGCAAAAGGGAGTCAATCCTCCTGGATTATCATGTTAAAAATGGCTACCTCTACATCATTCAGAAAAGTTGTGGGGTGAGGGGAATTAGTTTTATAAGTCTTCCACCAGAAGGACTGAGTCAGTCAGATGTCTGTGTTGAGTGACAGGTGTCCTTACTCAGGCAGTTAGAACCATTCGTTAGAGCCATGGCAGCAAGAACGGCAATCAAGTGTTTTCTATAACTGACACAGACTCTTTCTTACTGCTGTGGAGGAATTTTGGCCCAGTATTATTATTATTATTATTACTATTAAATAACAATTATTCCATAATTGTTTTAAATCAGCCACACTGGAGGGCCTCTCTAGTATTACAGGCTTTTTAAGGTCATTCCAAAGCATCTCAATATGATTTATTCCAGACTTTGACCAGGCCACTTCAAAACCTTCATTCTGTTGTTTTGGAGTCACTCAGAGGTGGACTTGGAGTGGTGGACATCAATCCATCTTCTACCAACTATCTAAGTCCGGGTCGTGGAGGCAGCAGTTTACGCAGAGACGTCAAGACCTCCTTCTTCCTGACCACCTCCTCGATCTCCCTTAGTACAGTTAATTATGATTTGTGAAATAATGACATTAAAATTTGCACCAAAAGTAACCAACACCTTCATCTCTGTCAAGAGGTCCAATTCAGTGACTCAGTTTAGCAGCCATCTGTTGCCTACAGACACCTGTGTCCGAAGTGGCAAATATTCATTAACACAAATAAAACGTGTGAGATCTAAAATACAATACTTTTTTGAAGCTGTCTGCGTGTCTTCTTAATTCTCGTGGGCGTTTTTAGCATGGGTATCTATAAAAAAAAACAAGCCTCAAGTGGCCATTGGATGAACTGCACGTTCAGTGACGACTTGGTGCTTGTTGTTGTTATTTATTATGTTTCACGTCAGGGGACAGAAGCTTTTTCATAAGAGTCTTTGTTGGACGTTTATAATACAGAAGTCCCTGAAAAATAAGCAATAAATTGATGGCGCCACAATCTGTCGTTCCTGCTAGTTAAACCCACATTTGATGCATTATATTGTCATCAGGCAGCGGTACAATCAATCACACAAGAAGAACACTTGCAAGTTGTCAACATACAAATTATATCCAGGTGGCTGTGGCTCAGGAGGCAGAGCAGGTCATTCACTAAGCAGAAAGCACTTTGAGTGCTCAGTAAGAGTAGAAAATAGTATAATATAATTACTATTCCATTTCCATTTACCACCCTAATTAGTATCAGCATTAGGGATAAAGGCTGCCTTTAGAGGTGTAACATTAGAATAGGATATATTCTTTTAATGATCCTGAGAAAATCAGATGGAGTACATTCAAACATACTGAATGTGTCAGGGCACAAAAGGTGTAAGTTAATTATAAGTAACAAAACAACAGGGCAAAAAAAGCTTTTATAGCATCTTTGTACTTATATTGGATGCATGTGTTTATAAATGTATCAAATCACCAAGGAATTAGAAAAATTAAAACATATATAACATCAAAAATGAGTACTAATTCATACAATTCTTTCATAAAAGGAAACTCATTCAAGTTATTTGAATATGGTTACCATCGACAAGGGATCACTTGGTGGTCCTGCTGAACACATTCTCAATGATCTCTCATCAGCTCTTCTGTGTTGTTGTGCCCATTGTTCAGTTGCATTGCACAACCCGATGATCTCCATCTCCAGTTATATGCATTACTAGTCAATAAGAGCTTCGCTGGGCACACAGTCCTTGATGCAGCACAATCACCCTGCTGACGAGACAGACGAAGCCCCAGAGACGGGAGCAAAGCAGGAGGATGTTGACACCGCCACCACCTCTAATTATAGCATCATACAGGCCTGAGGCACTGTGAGGAAGGGGGGAAAAATCCTTAAACTCCCAGAGCAGAGCAAACCAAACTGTATGTAAAATTAATTCCGGTATTTAAGTCTTTTAAAATAATTAGCAGTTAATCAATAATGAATAATTATTCCCCTGTCTAGAAACAACAAGGATAGACTCTTACTGCAGCATGCCGAGTCCCTCTCTGTTGGGACGGAGCCTGTATGCAAAGCAGGAAAAATCAATTGGATCCGATTTTAATTACATAGTCCGGCACTGTGGTACAGAATCTCATTAGCCTCTTCAGATTTCCATGCTTGTTGAATTCAAGTCTGAGATTCAAAAACAATCACTCCCCAAATGGACAGACTGTGTTTTTGTGTGCGTGCGTCTGTGTGTGAAGAATGCGGAGGTAAAGAGGGGCAGGGGTGCTATGATGAGCCAATCTGTCCAGGTAGTCCAAATCACTAGCACTCCTCCATCCTCCACTCCTCTACATGCAATGCTGTAATTAGTATGGAGACTACAGTCGGATTTTTAATGAAGTTTTCTTATCTGCAGGGAAAAGGGTGGAGGCCGAGAATACACTGGACATACTGGTGGTGCTTAAGTGTACCTGCACCCAGCATGCGTCACATGATTGGAATTCAATGCCTGCTCTTGCCTCTCTCATCAAAGTCCTCCATGCATTTAGTGATGATTAATGGATTATACTTGTAATTAAACACACCAGGCCTGCTTGTGCTACCCACTGAGAGGAGCAGCACTTACAAGGGGGAGGGTGGCTTGATGGTCTTAGCTCTGAAAACTGACTGCTGACATGGATTCTCAGAATAAGGCAACTTTTCTCCAGCTCCTCCTTGCTAATTTCTCTCTTCACTGTTTTACCACAAGAAGCTTGACAACGGCATGCCACACCACGCAGAAGCACCAGCAGCAGTGGGGAATAAAACAGCATAGCAGGAGAGAATAGTGCTGCACTTGCATTTTCTGATTCGTAATTTCACTCTCTCTCTCTCTCTCTCTCTCTGTGCTGCACTCGGCACTTGCTGATAATTTGTAGGATTGAGATGCAACAACTTTGCCCACCCAGGCAAAGGCACTGTGGGAGGGACCAGTGAGAGAAACAGGAGGGAGCGGTCATCGGGAAAGTTAACATCAACATCACCCCCTAGGCGTCATCCACTTACAACAGGCGGTAATGAACGGTGAACCTGTGAAACAGGAAAGGTAGAGAGTCACCTTGCATCAGGATCTCAGGGATGGCAGTCACTCTGAAGACTTAAAAGATGCATGGAGTGCGACTTAAATCAAAATATGGCTAGGCTGAAGGGTCTTTGGTCTTGGCTGTCTGGCATTATACATTAGTTTTAGTGTTATCTACCATGTAGACATTTGATTGTAGCATTTGTAATGTCCTGAGAAACCTGTGACCACATCTGCCCCTTCTATCCTTGAGATGAGCTGACACACACTACCACCACCCATGATGCATCAGAAGAAGATCTATCATCTAATTCTGAAGAATTAGAGAAAAATAAATACAGTTTAAAGGCAAAATCTTGGTTTTACTTGTGTCTTATGGCCTCATCACACAGGAAAACTTTACAGCAAATTTAATTTGGCGTTGAAGCTCAGATGCACATTGTAGCCTGAAACAGAAAAATTATGATTCAATCATCGCTCATTATTTTGTCAAGACACAGTAAACTCAAGAGAGGCTGCATTTATTTTAGAGGCAGTTTATACTCCCAGCAAAGGAGACTCAACATAACGGTCTGCTGTTCTTATACAGAACTGTGCAAAAGTCTTGTGCCACCACTTTTTTTCTTTTTTTAATATTTTGCAATTAAAATGAGAAGCAAGGGCAGTGAAACACAGAACATGCATGGGAATGCAGTATATAAGGCAAAAACAGTTTGTACAATTGTAACAAGACTGGAAGTGGTATGATTTTGGTATCACAGCCTGAACTCTCTTAGGAAAGCTTTTATGTAATTTCTTTAACCAGTCTTCAGGATTAGTTTTCCAGGCTTCTTAAAGTAAATTCAAAGCTCTCATGCTTCAATAATCTAGAGGTCCAGGCTCTGGGGAGTCCAATCAAGGACTGATCGTCTTCTACCGTGTGTTTTTTCTATCCAGGCATACTTTTACTGTGTTGGCAGTTTGTTTGGGATCATTCCCCACGAAAAAATTAGGTCAGTTGACAGTTAGTTCATTTCAGATAGTATTGCATGGTGGATTAAAATCTGATTGTACTATTCTGTGTTCATAATTCCATCAATTTTGACCTCCTTCATGCATGACGATGACTTGAACAAAAAATTTAGAATTTGGATTCATCACTCCATAAGACCTGCTGTCTGAGATTTTCAGTCAAGTTCTTGTGTGATTTGGCACACCTCAGCTTTTTCTCCACACTTGGTTTCTTGAGAGCTACCACCATCCACTGAGACCTCTGAGGTCCAGGATTCAGATGAGGCTTCGGTGAACAGTAGATGGATCAACCAAAGGGGAAGATCAACCTCTCCTATGTCCTTTGTCAGTTTTTTGTTTGATTGTTTTGTTTTTCTTAAGGAGGTGACTTTTTTTAAGTTCATCTGCTGTAGATAATTTTTAGGCCTGGCACTTTTTCTTTGTCCTCCACCTTTTTAGTTCCCTGGACCCTGCTGAGATATGCCGAGTTTTCAGCTAATAGCTGTCTGGGAAAAAACAAAATACTATTTTATGCCCAGCAAAGTGTTATCTTTGGCATTTCTCATATATTCAGCTCAAGAAATGGGAACAAATCACACCATAGGGCGACCAGCATTTTTATTCCGCATCTATGCTTACAAATAACAGTAGATTGCTGTACAAAATGTGCTGCATTTTTTAAAGAATTTGCTCAAATGTTTGAATATGTCTGCCATATAAATATACTCACAATGTTGTAGTCCCAGAAGGGAAAATCCTAATATGGTAGAACAGCTCACACCTCCACTGCACTAGAAATCTTTTCTTTTTTTTGTGGCATCTAGCCAAACACATCACCTTTATCCCATCATCCAGACATACATGCTTTGGCTTGATTAGGTGGGGATGCACATAATCAAATTGAGAGGACGAGCTGGTTATTTTTTCTATAATGCAATAAAAGCTTTACCACTGTGCACCAATAAATCCTCTCCTCAAATAAAAACCTGACAGTCCATAAATTTGTACTGAGTGCAGATAGAGAGGAACCACTAAGCTTTCCCAAATATATGATAAATGCACTTTTACTTCAGTATTTGCTCACATAGTGTAGCCTGTCTATGAAGAGTGCCACTTCCGCAGCTGCAGCTATTGGAGCTGAGCATTCAGTGGTTCACTGGTCCGGAATACATTTGCAGGGGAAGATGGGTGAGTGAGGGATACCCGCACAGACTCCATTACATCAGAGGGACGGTGCACAGAAGACGAGTGTAGGACACTGGACTCCACATTCATCTACTCGTCTCCCTTGTGCCTTATGGTGCTGAATGAAAGAGAGAAAGAAGGACAGGATGGAGGGTGGAGCATCAAAAGTACAGGATGGCGATATGAAGGAAGACCGGATGAGACACAGATCAAGGCGGAGAGGTCAGTTCGACTGAGGGACTTAGCGTCACATCGCCCGGGCCCCTGTGCCCCACGGCCACATCTCCATGGCAACATGTGGCCCTTGCCTCGGTCGCGGGGAGAGTGGAAGTGACGGCGGCGATCTGTGCGTGTTCCGTCTGGCTCATTATGTGGCGAATGAAGTGAAACAGCCAAGGGGTGCATTTGTTCTGCGTGGACTACCCCCTCAGCTGCCAAGCGTCTGTCTATTTATAGAAATGAAAGAAAAAGAGAGAAAGCGGGCCTAAATAAAATAAGCACAAGGGCCATTTCTCGACTCACTTTTCCTCCTCTCTTCCCCCTCCTCCAGGTAGTAAAAGTCTCTATTTTCTGCATCTCTCTGAGACTCAGAAGGGTAATGAAGGCTCTCCCTAACTAAAGACCGTTTTCATATTTGATAAAACTCTGTTATTTTCCTTTAGTGTATAAAAATTTCACAGATATAACATAGAAAATCCTGAAACTACAAACTGATACTGACTGAATGGAGTCTAATACCAGGCATCATCATGAAACAAAGTTTAAGTTTAAGTTTAATAACTGAGTTATTAACATTTTAACTGATAGATGACTGAATTTAGACAGAAAAATCAATGTTTCTTTAAAACATATAACTCTATATTGATATATTAGAGAGAAAGCCTTGTATCTGTGATGATATGCACAAGTTCTTCCATGATGTTAATTATTTTGCCCCCAGCCAGGAAGAATATTCAAATCCTCAGTCAATTATAATACAGAGGACAATAGACAGTTAGCGAGTGACTACCCTACTAAAAGGGACATAGGCATGCAGGAGGGGTTTCCACAAGTACTAACTAAACTGTCCTTTTTGAACTTATTGCAGAGAAAATGGTGCCGAAATCAAATGAGTGCAACACAGATGTGTGCAGTTCTTTGTTTTGCATGAACAAATTTCTGCAAATCTCAATGAATTGAAATAACAAGAGCGAAGCAAAATTCCTCCACATTGATGTGAGATCGATAAAATCGAACAGAAAGTTATTACTGCAAGTTATTGCTGCTAAAAGTGGATCATGGTGCGTACTTGGCTTTTTTTTTACTAAATAACAACACTCTGTAATATGTGTTGTTGTTTATAATATTGAGATATTAACACCTGGTGAGAACTAGATATTTTTTTATTATGTCCAGATATGTAAAAATTTTTTTACTATGCCTGTAAATCATAGAGTTCTCTAAAAAGCAAATTCATCAAAAATCTGAACGTCAGTCTCTGTGACTTAAAGATTTCAAACTTTCTGCTTGTTGCAGCTTTAAAACAGCAGCATTGATGCTAACGTCAAAGATCACATTAAATACAGTTCCTGGAAAGAATCGAATCTCCGGTGTTTACTTTGTGTCATCAAAGTGACACAGTATTTCTTTTTAATTTTCTGGTGATGATTTTTAATCAAACAACCATTCCCTATATAAGTGACAGTCTGCTGGTTAAGCTGTCACTGATTAGCATTAAGTAACAAATATCAAAACGTTGCGATTTCAGTCTGGTGTGAGAATTCACCCGATGATGACAAATGAGATATTATATTCTGCATTTCTCTCACTGAAGTGAATAGTCATGTCTGCAATCCTTGTGAAAAATGTCTTCTCGTGAGATAATACCAGTGGTAATTAATCATCATCTGGGGTGTGTGTGAGTGAATCTGCGGAGAGGGAATTTTTCATTCATCAAGGGCCAAAAGGACTGTGAGCAGAACGCTTTTTCTGCAGCGTTTCCACATCAGAGCTGTGATGATTTGGCAGATTAAAAACCAGACTTGCAGGGCTGCTAATTAAAGGGGGAATCGACTGATTGAGGGGCCCCAGAGCTGAATAGGGCCACTGGAAGATGCTCAAGATTATTTTGAGAGCCCCAGTTGTCACATTGCCCAGAATCTCAACCGACTCCACAATTCTTGTTTCTCAAACTTCATTAGTTCTCATCAAACAACATGGTAAATATAGAATTTCATTTCCCCCTTGTTTAGCCTTGTCCACTTAATATTTAATTGCATTTTCTTGCATTCTCTAATAAAAAATTGATGTGCATGTGAATGGGCGTATGTTTTTCAAATATGGGCTCCATCTCATAACACATCTTGGCAGCTCACTTACGATAGCAAGGCCTTCCAGGCTGACCTATTTTGGCCTCTGATGACTACACCCCCGCTATATCTCCTCATCGTAGAACTGTAGAGCTGTAACACGTCTTTTGCTTCAGCGCTCTTAAGTCTTCTTCACGTGACTCACTTGAAGTAGGCTCTGTGGAAAAGCTGCGAGGCTGTAGAGCCGTACACAATTAACAAGGTTACGCGGTTCACCAAACACTGAGCTAAATAACTTCCATATAATGTACAGTGAAGTAGGACAGTGTGGAGGAAATAAAGAAACGGCTAAATGAGTGGGATGTTTAGCTGAAAGCAAAGCCACCTCACCTAATTTCACACATCATTTTGTCTTCTAGAGATTTCCTTGTTAGCAAGAGAAGGGCCCACTTTCCTAGACATGTGTTACGCTCCGTCCAAGAATCTTGTTAATTTTTGTTTTTTTCCAGGACATGGTGCAATCTGTGTTTAGGAGACCGACGCCAAAAGTCTGCAGTGATGAAAGGACATCTGTGAGGAAGCTAACTGCTAATACTATCATGCTGTGATCCATTTGTTACCATGTTAATATCAACCACGTTCATGCTGACAAATATTTATTATGTCCACGGAAAAATCTTGAGCTACCCCCATTTCTTTATATCTTTGCTTTCTAGGAGCCAGATTTTTAATTTTATATTTCGTTATTTTTGGAAAAAAATGATCACGAGTAATAGTTTTCTAGGTTCTCTTAACGTCTTTCAAAGTTTTTCTTTGGACACTGGCTGCTTTTTTGTGAATTTATAGGGTTTTTGGCTGCATTTCATCCAGTGATGTTGATGATCTTGTCAAAATTGATGGAGCACTTTTCCGCATCACGAAAAAACACACTGCCAGTTCCCTTTCTACCACAACCGTTTGATTTGTTTGTTAGAGTCTGATTGTAGTGCTTCTTTTACTTAGACTTTGAATGTGTCACTTTTTATTGTATCACATTTTCAAATGTTCCTGTTATTTAATAAAGAAAATAATAATATTTTTTCCACCACCACAGCTAACCCCTCAGTATATTGAGGCCAAGCTTAATGAGCATCATCAAACTCAATATCTTTTCTGTCCCAAAGAAACAGCAGCATCCTCGCTGTAGTTCTTATTTCTAGACAGTATTCATCTAATCAAAAACAGCCCTGGAGCCACCCGGTGGAGCATCCAGCACGAGTGTGTGATTCACCTCTAAGATTACAAATGCACCAACATGTGGCTATTCTAATTTTAGAAGCCTCTTCGCAAAACACCAGACATTTTTATCAACCCTCCGCCTGACGCGAGAGCTTTGATGTGATCCGCTAATCCTGTTACAAACACTTGATTACTCCGCTTTGTTATTCAGAGGTGTTTGGCGGATGAGAGGCGATTGCTACTTCATGGCGCTTTGCCACACATTCAAACAGTCTATGACAAAACAGCACTTTGAGCAAGATGTATTTTTGTACAACCTGTGCATGGGAAAAATAACCCTCACATATGATCTGCTGTTTGTTTCCTGAGCCCAAGAACACTCTGTATTAGAACAGCTCAAAAGTCAGGAACGTAAAAAAGGGATTGCGGAAAATGTATCCCAAGACATTTTCATGCACCTGAAGAATATTCATTAGATCTCATTTCACAGCTGAATGAGATGAGGCAGCACATGCATTATCTGTCACTCACCCACACATTACCTAAACGTAAAATCTAGAGCCATTGTTGCATACAGAAAATATCATGTTCTTTTGTTTTTAGGACCAAAAAAGCAAAAAGGTAACACTATTTCTATTATAAGCACAATAAATCCACTGCAGTGCAAAGTAATAACTGTCAGAAAAACAGATTACTGTCGAGAAGTAAAAAGCCCGAGGAAAGGCTGGACTGTTCTCTTATTTATTCCTTTATGCTTCCAACTGGTAAATCAATGCAATACCATTGTAAACAAAGACCCACCACATCCACCGGCTTTTGTCAAAAACAAAATGAAAGTGAAGGCAACACTGTGGATAAACAACAATAATTTATTGAGTCATGTAAATCATACATGGATATATAATCCTTTCTTTGTGGAAGATGCAGCAGGACACAGATGGGCCACCTGCTGGCTGAGACAGGTGACACCTGATTTATATTTGTGCATAAAATTATAAGTATCAACTTTTTTTTAAATTACAACACCAGTTTTGCTTCTATGGCATAATAATAGTAGTAATGGACAGCTTGAGCCAATCACAATGCTGGTATTTTGGGAGTAAAAAAATGATGATAAAGTCATTGTTTATCAACTTCCCAGCAAATCAGAAAACACCGCTTGACTCTGCACCACCACGTATTCAGGTGTGAAGCCTACTCTGCTCCACGTGCTGAAAACAATGGAGACAGCATGTGTATTATGACTGCAATATGTCTGAAAATTAATAATAATAATAATAATAATAATATTACTTAATATTGGACAACACATGAATTTATCTGTGAACAGCAGAAATGGTCCTGATGATACATCAGTCTGACTAATAGCTGTGAACGTGTTACAACCAGAAGAAACCATTATCGCCTATTAATGTATATTCCCCAAGTCTGAATTCCTGCACAAGCAAAGACAAAAGAGTCCAGGCCCTGAAGCTGCAGAGACTACCATAACTGAATCTCAGGTCTCTCCACAGTTCATTCTTGTAATGTTCACGGTGTGTATTTGTGTGTGTGTCAATGTGCAGCCTGCTCAGCCTGATGTCCTCCAGTCTCAGTCTTTATTGCTCAGCTTCCTGCGCTGCTGCTCCTGGTACTCCCTGGAGTCCTCCCAGGGACGAGGGCCACGGATGTTCTTCCATTCGTCCAAATTCATCTCCTTTAGCCTCTGCAGAGCAAAAAACCCACAAGAGGCAGAGTCAAACTCCAAGATGCCTTGAATGAAAAAACAAACAAAAAATATAAAAGAGGATCATCTGCCTCCATCTCATCCTATGCTAACATCCTCCTCTGTCACACAAACTCTCCTCTTGCCTTATTGAGCTCCATATTTAACATTTTTGTCTAATATATCCACCATCCTCAAATGTCAGCGTTGTCTCCAAGCCACTCAATCTGAGTTGCCCCTCTGATGTACTAATTTTCAATCATGTCCACATCCAAATCTTCACTTTCTGCATCTCTTCCTCTGCCACACCTCCAGCTCCTGTCTTGTCTGTGCCACTTTCTCCGAACCATACATCACAGCAGGTTTCCCTATCTTGTCAATCTTTCCTGTAAATTAACCTGGTACTTAAATTTTTTAACAATGCACCAAAAATTCTGTCAGTGAGGCATTTTGACACTTAAAAGCACGATTTTTGCTCTCCCAGCTTTCTTGCAGACACACTACACAAGTCAGAGTCTTTGATCTACTCCACTGCTAGTCTCACAGCCTTGTTCCCCTTACCTCATACTCTTCTTCCAGTATGACCGGCTGCCTCTGGATGTTCACTTTAGCCTCCAGTGAAGGATCCAACTGCAGGATGGGGGAAAAAAGAGAGGAAACAAAATGTTTACTTAGCTGTCACAGCGTCACAGAATAAAATTCCAGCAGTAAGAAATAAAGAGATTATGCAAAGGCTCCCCTTGCTTGAATGACTGATTTGTAGATAGTTTGTTAAGAGGAAATTAAAAGTACTAAAATGAGGTAAGAGAAGGTTTGTACAGTTGCAACTTGCAAATGAGGTCACCATTTCATTTCCCACAATGTTATTAAATATTATGTATTATGCTATTTAAAAGATGACATATGCAGAAGAGGTGAACTACTTTTCTTGTGACTATAAATAGAAGTAAGAAACACTCTACACTGTCTCACCGGTGTAGAACTCTCTAAACCCAGAGGGAGGATCCAATTTACCCTGTTTTACTGTACAAATTGCTCTCCTTGAATTGCCATCAACATTACCCAGTTCAGTTACATATACACACACATGCACACACACACACATATACATATAAGAAGGTTATCGGAGAGAGAGTTGAGTCCAGTCGAGCTATGAGGACTTTGCAATTCAAATTGATTTTGCCTGAGAATAGGGCTGAAATGAATCCCATTCTGAATCATTACTTTTAATGAGTTCTAATATTTCACAGCAATAATGCTGCAGTTACACAGCTGACTGATGAGTTTCATAACACCATGATTGATTTATAATTAGACCTACATTACTACAGCCTATTAATAATATATAGAATATTCTAGAGCATTGACACCAGGGAATTAATTGCCTAAGTTAGTCAGGTACCCGCTGTGGAGGTGTTAGCAGCTGAAACTGGGTACAAACTGGGTATGCCAGAAATAAAGAAAGTTCACAAAAATCTGAACAGGGAATAAAAAAGGCATTCAGGTTCATCTCTGCCACCAGGCTAAATCAAATCATTGAAGTGAAGATGCAAATTGGATCACACAGTGACTTATTCTGAGTGGTTTCACTGACTTAAGTGAGCACTTATCTGCGAGAGCAAAATAATGAAACTGGCCGATAACAGGCTAGCTAAAAACAGTAAGAGTGGTTTTAATCATGAGCATACAACTTTTTAGATATGCAATGCATTAAATTATACATGCAAACACACACACAGCCGAGTTCAACATTTACTCCACAGTGCCAGAGAGAGAAGAACAAGACTCTCTTTGCTGCAGGCCCAATCAGAAGAGAGTGATACGTGTGGGGGTTGCTGCACAGGCACAGTGCCAGGGGCCCAATGCCCTCCTCCTCCTCCACCATGATGATGATGATGATGATGATGATGATCATCATCATCATCATCATCATCATCATCAGTCTAGTACTACTAGTACTGCTTCAACGTATGTCGAAATAAAATAGCACAAAACAGTTACTTCCCCTCACAGCCAGCTTATCAGACTGTAATGCCTTCTAATAAATGCCCAACCTTTTATCATTTTAATGAATTGGTTGTAATTTAATGTATTATTAGAGCTTGTTCTCGCAGCTTGCTCTTCTACCGACTCTACCGCTTGTCTGAAAAGATGGGTAGACTAAGTATTCAATTCAGATGTCTTAAAACTTGACCACACTGTACTGATCTGTAACAATCCAGGAGTCTTAACAATGAGACAAAGTGTGTTTTGTTTTGACACCTTACACTTGGGAGGAAATCTGCTGCAATTACAGTTCCAACCACTGGGTGGAGAACTTGCACACCGTCTACTGTATTGTACGGAGAGAAATTATTTTACCTGCTAACTGTACACTTAATAACATTGTATAGGAAGGGATTTTCCCACTTAACAGTTTATGTAACCATAAAGATCTAGGAGTTTAAATGTAACTGACAATTAACTGACTTTGAATAAACCTTGACCAAATCCTTTTTCTTCTTCTTAAAATACAAAAGGAATCAAACTACAAACCCTTTTTCTGATCTTCTGGGAATCATACCGGATTTGTGTGAACTCCCTCAAGCCAAAGGAACCACCAATTACCAGCAACTGAAATAAGAAATATAAGAGAATGGAACTATAAGCATTGTGGCCATCTACAGCACCGTGCAAAAGTCTGGAAGCACTCCACACTTTGTTATATTTTGCTAGGTAAATCAGTAAATAGCAGCAAGCAGTTTATTGAAATAAACACATGTAAATACAGTATATAAAGCAGAAAAAATGAAGCTGTTGCCAATCACGTGCTTTCTCATGGTGGATCAAATCTGATGATAACTTTCTGTGTTCATAATTCCATCAGTTTTGAGAAGATCTCCAACACCACTGGCTGAACTAAAGTCCCAAACCATGACAGACCTCTACAATGTTTAACAGATTGTTGTACCTGTCTCCTGAGGTCCTCTGCACATATTGGTGACAGTTTGAACCAATAATTTAATAAGATTTCTATTCATTACTGCAACAGACCTGTTGTCACTGATTTTCAGGATGACTCCTGTGTAATTTGGCATACCTTAGGCTTTTCTCTTTGTTTCCCTTCCTTAAGAATGGCTTCCTGACAGCCAGTGACACCATTTATGATGAGGTGAACAGTAGATGGATCTGAAGGGTGAAATGCACCTGTGAGGTCATCTGTCATGTCCTTGACTGATTATTTCCCTTATTGCATAAGGATATGACTTTCGGACACTGTTTATGGGCTGTAGAGCATTTTCAGATCTGAGAACTCTTTTGTCTTCCAATTTTCAAGTTTACTGGACCTTTGACATTTTCATAGATTCAACTAAAGAAAAGGGGAAAACTATGTTTTTTGTGACATGGCACTAGTAAAAAAAAAAAGGCTTGTTTTTAGTTTAATACTTTGGATCATATTTTCGATTAGATGGCTTTTTATATGCTTGAATGATTAATAGGTGAGTGTTAAGGGGCTTTAAAAAAAAACAACATTCCTCTTAAAAGGATCAAGTACAAGGACTCGACTGAAAATGAGTGGGAACAAGGCAGTCGATGTCCAAAGAAAAAATTTGAAAGACCTTCAGAAAACCTGAAGACCACTTTCAAGAAAAACAAGAAGTTTGGCTCCTTGGACGCAAAATGTAAAGAATCCAGGAATGGTTCGAGACCTTTGCACAGTACTTTATGGTATGACTTAGGTATCTCCTGTTAAAGTGGATATAAATAAATAAGAAAATAAATGCTACAGTCACTGTAGCTTTCAAGACTTTCAAAACAGAACAAGAATTGTTAACTATCTAAAACCTTAATGATTTAGTCCACTGTATGGGCCTGAACAAATACAGCTTCCTTCCTAAAACTGTCAACAAAACCAAGCACTACAACATTTAAGATGCTTCGACTCACATTTGTATACCTAAAACAGTGAAACTATAAAAGCCTGGGATTCGGTTTGAAATACTGTTAAACAGTCACGATTAAAGATCACTATTGTTACAGCAAAGAACGGAAATGCCCAAAATGGGCTTTAACACGCAATTAAACTATAACTAAGACAAAACGAAAAAACAACTAATACTATTATGAAGTTCCAGATACAAGATCTTACTTCAATATTAGGAGTGAACTGGTTAAAGAAGTCATTTACACGCACCACGGTGGGGTTATGCATTCATAAAACAGCTAAGCTGCTAGCAAATATTAGCTCAAACTGCTTAGTCTCCGTAAATATCGTCACATAAAAGTTACTTACAAGCATAGGGATTCCATATTTCACCGTTTTGTTTTTCTGCAGAAACTTTAAATTAAACATAACTCTCCCTCAGACTACAAGCCCATGTTACAGGTTCAAACAACAAACAGATGACATCTGAGATGCATTTCCTGAAAAGGTCCCACACTCAAACTGGTCCGTATAGTTTTGAGGGCACGCTGAATTGTTCCGATGACTGTTCGTATAAAGGAAATGAATTTGTCACATTTTTTCTCGTTGGTTTAGATAAAAAGTAAAGTATAAGATCTTTACTCATGTCGCTCAGCCAGGGGCTCTATAAATGTTCCCAGCGGGATATTTTGAGCACCAATTACTTTATATCCTGTGAATTTGTAGCATGAAACTGTTGTTGAAATGTTTTTATTTATAAAAATAAAAATACAGAATAGATGTCTTTCTCTATTATGCACCCTCTAATTTCTAACTAGGCAACTAGCCAAATTCTTTAAACAGATCAGCTGCAACAAATTTGAGACTGATGATGTTGACGATTAGTACAGATGATCCAAATTCATTTAAATAATAATAAAATGATTCACAGAAAGCTTTGGAGAGTAGTGGAAAGGGCTGCTGTCAGGATGATTTCTTACCCAATAATGAAAAAACATCTCTGAGAATTTCACAAAGTGACCTTCAAATGTTTTCAGTTCAAATGTATTCAAATAATGGCAAATTACAGCTCCGTCACTGATGAAGTAAATGCAATTCAGTAATTAAAGGTGAGTGGCTATAACTGACTATGTGTGCATACTGTATCATAAGTGGACAGACATGGATGTAAACCACACCTTAACTGTTTGGCTGAGGCAAAACAACCACAAGGCAGTGATTCTAACTTAAAGGTACTCTGAGTATTATTAAATGTGAACATATCGTTAAAAATGACATTTATTGTTTGTTGGGTGTCCTGTTTGAAGAAAACACTTGGGAGCCACTTGAATGAATGTATATAAACATGAGGGGAACCTGATTTCAAGGAAATGAAAATGCTCAAATTTGAAAGTTTCTGAGTTATTTTGTTCATGTCCTCGTGTATTAGCTGTTTAGTTGTTTTATGATGAGATGGATGCTGTCATTATATTTTAGTATAGTGTTTGAGTTGAAGAGAATAAAAGAATATTTAACATTAATTGTTGTGTACTAAGCACAGATTAATTTGATAAGTTATAATTTACGAATTTTTGAGCAAATTGTGTATTAGGTTGTAATTGTATGTTTAAGGATATAAAGAAGTACATTCACACAAAACACAGAAGCAAACAATATAAACAATATCTTATATATAAAACAAATGAGTCATAATAAGTGAAAAGAAGTGCTTGGAAATGATAATATAAACAGAACTTTCAATTTTTCTATTATCGGAAAATATCAGTTAATGATACAGAACATTTATTCAAAGAGTTTTTGAGTTCATGTGTGAAGCGCTTGACTCACATGTTATATGTTGACCCCAACATGCTGTGCACAACAACTGCTGTTTTCTTATTGTCAGGGACCTTGTTTGTGTTGGCATCAGTCCAACACTTTGCAGGTCCGTTAGTGTAAAGCTGCTGTGCAATGGCTATGTGTTTGAGAATTATACCAGGGAGTCAAGTATTTCTGATTTGATGCTCTATTTTTCCCTGGTGCTACAGTATCCAGTGTCATACGTAGTTAGGAGACAAAATTATTAACAAGATAATTGACTTCTGTGGGCAGATGAAGAGGATGAAGGGCATTGAAGATGATAACAGTGGGTGGATTATATTCTTAAACTTAGTTAGCACTTTCAGAAAGACATCTACTTTGATGAACTCGACTCCCCACTGCCGTGTAATCAATTATTGATAATTAAAATGTTATCAGGAAATGATCAGACAGGAGAGGGTTTTCAGGAAACACAGTTTCATGCATAAATTACAACAACCTCAATCAGGATTTTTTTTTTCTTAAGTATTTTTATTCATCTTTAGGCATGAAAAATATATTTTTGAACTTTTGTTTTTAAAACATTTTTTTAAACGTACTTTTCAAAAAACTTTTCACATGTCCACCTAGGTGGAAAACTGATATGTATGGAGTGACACATTAGAGTCCAATGAAGTGGTTTATGTGCAAATATACCATCAACACTGACACAAATACAAGAAAACAGCTTTTGAATAGCTGTCCACTGTAGTGACCACCATGCGTGAAAGGGTTAAATATTCCTTTTCTATGCCATACGTATATATGTATATATACATATACCACAAGATCTAGTGTGTGATTAAAGTGGTGGGTGGGTTCTTTTACATTTTGAGAGAAGCCAATTGAGTCTAATAACAGATTAAATGCTGTGTCGAGGGTGTCATTTTTAGCACCTACATGAATGTTAAAATTACCCACAATGAGCTGAACACTAAATCAGATAAAACGTCTGTTTTACTCTTTGGTGCAGATGTGGATATTGTTCTTTCTTTGTGATTTTTTATGTTTAAGTCGTTTTTTTGGTGGTTTTTAGTTTATTTTTTGCCTGTTTGCAAGCTGCTAAGGTGATGGAATTTTTAGGGGGATAACAGGAGGAGAAAAGCTGCAGAGAGGTGTGTAAGACTGCAACTTTGCTTCCTGGTCCTAACTTTGGATAGTCACATTTTGGGGGGTTTAATAAATTTGGCCAGATTTGTAGAAATGAGAGCTGCTCCATCCAACGTGGGATAGATGCCATAACTCCTAACAAGACCAGGTTTCCTACAGAAAGTTTCCCAATTATTATTATTTATTTATTTATTTATTTAGCATGTCCCCTTTGGATCTTTAGCCATCAGAATTGTTGTCTGAAGGCCAAGAAAGATGCCAAGCGGATTTACTTTACCATGGCCATGCCATATTGGTCCATTTGATTGACCTTTATTATAATTATGTATTTATTTTATTTTCAGTTGTAACAGACGGGAGAGACATGCCTGGGGGATAGGACAGGGAGAAAGAATAAAAGAAAGAGAGGGAGAGAAAGAAAGAAAAATAGAGGGGAGAAGAGACGGTGAGAAAGGGGGGAAAGAAAAAAAAAGAAAAACAAACAAAACACCTGGATTACCTGTATGGAGATAAGAAAAAACAGAAGAGAAAACAAACAAAAAAGAGCAACATAATAAATACAACACCATCACAATAAACTATCTAACAGTAGATAACAGTAGATACTAAATATTACATGTTATTGTGCAGTACGCAAGATCGACAGCGCACAATGTGCTTTGAGGTAGCAGCCAAGAAACGTGTAGTTTGTGTCTGTGAACATCCGTGTGTACATCTGTGTGCACACCTGTGTGGATCAGCACGCTTGTATTCAAAAGGTTTCTCCATGTAACGATCTGCTAGGGAGTGTGGGGGGCCATAGCCCCGTCCCTCAGGACATGAAGCAGGTATGGAGGAGATCCAGGCCCCAGACATCCAGAGGCCCCAGAAAGTTTCCCAATTATTGATAAAACCCACATTGTTTTTTGGACTCCACTCAGACAGACAGAAATATAAGGAGAACATGTGGCTAAACATGTGACTCCTGGTCCAATTGGAGAGGGGACCAGAGAAAACTACAGAGCCCGATATTGTTCTGGTAAAGTTACACACCAATTCAATATTGATTTTCATGACCTCCGATTGACGTAACCGGGTGTCATTACTGCCTTTTTAATTTTACTGAATTTACATTTACCCTCAGCCAGCAGTTTAAAATTTCCCTCATTGTCACCTGCTCTGGCCCCTGGAAGACAACTGACTATGGTTACTGGTGTCTCTAGCTTCACATGTCTCAGAACAAAAAAAGAAAACAAAAATAAATAAAAACAATTCTTCCCTCTGAGGGAGCTGCTGGGTCCTATTTGATTACTGGAATAAACTTCAGGGTTCCTGATGTGTCTGACATAATGTCTGCCTCATCTGGCACAGGACAGCTGTGATGAAAGAAATGGAGTACATTTCTACAAACCACTGGGCCAATCAGTCCAGACCCAGCTAGACCCTGTTTCCTTTGCTCGCTTTCCCCAGGGTGACTGTAGCTGTTGCATTGTAAAATCGAATTAGTTTGTAGAACTTAAAAAAAAAAACTATGCAAAATTGTTGCCTCAAAAATGATTGCTGAATGTTAAGTTAAAAATGTTGAATAAACTGAAAAAGAGAGTTTTTCACTTGAAAACAAAAGTGCAGAACTGCTGAAAGCTGATATTCACACAGAAGTTTGAAAGTTGAAAAGTAGCTCTTTTGAGTAATGACAAAAAAAAAAAAAAATAGAGTCAGAAAACATCTGAACATCTCAGTGTCCTTTCCTCCCTGCTTTTAAATCAGATGTCACTCTGAACATAAACACAAGCTACATGTGATATCTCTGATTGGTACTTGTTTCTACCTGTGCTCATGCTGGCATGATTAAAGCTAGCCAAGCAGCAGTAAATATGTGAAGCAAGGCAGAAGGATATACTCATAAACAGAACAGAATCATAAGACTATGAGCACTGCAAATGTAACAAATATATGTTGACATCAAATGGTATGTTATTTGAAATCTATATGAAACAATGAGACATGTATTTTTTCCAATATTCTTTTTTCATTTTTTTTTAATTAATTGTCTAAATTCGTCTGACTTAGTGTCCCAGAAATCATCATTTCAACTCAATATGACTCACAAATATGTTTTAAATGGATGAGGAATCATCCATTTAAAACATATTTGTGAGTCACATTTGTAAACTTCCATCTGCAGCTGTTACGCTCTGTTATCAGATGAGGAATGCCGCCAAAAGAATGGCACAGATACATACAGCAGCAACAATTAGGAATTTGATGGCATCATCACGCCAAAAACCCCTTGGCCTCTTTGCAATCTGCTCGAGGATTTCGTTCATACAGAACTGAAAAACCTTCACAATTATTATGTCCACAGCAGGATCTGGTGTGGTAATTGTGTTTTTCAGTTTCTCAGCAGTTAGTACCTTTTGAAGGTCACTGAGGACAGTCCTGCTGATCCGTTTGACGACATTTTTTGACATATCTATGCTCTTTGGGAAGCTGAGGCCCTCCATTATCTGGTCTAGCAGCACTTTAGTGTGGGTGGCATACTCGTCTTTAGTGCAGCTTTGGAGAGCATTACATTTACTCAGGACTCTGACCAATACAGTGCAAGCAAACAGCCGATGCTGCTCTTCCTTGGCTGTTGTTTCAGAACCTGGCTGTGATCGGTCAAATATATCTCTTGAAGATGGTTTCATAATTTAAATATGAAAATCGAAAAGCGCTATATAAATGCAAAAAAAAAAGAAAAGAAAAAAGGAAAGAAATATGAAGGGTTTCTTGTTTTTGTTGTTCTCCAACTAATCTCAAAACTCGCAAAAAGTTCACTCACAATTCTGGTGAGTTTAAGGCCCCTATATGTGCCCTCGCGAATTCTCATATCTGTGACACATCAAAGAGAACTCATGACGCATCAAAGGTTTACATTCGCACATGCGCACACCCGCACACTTATAAATCATATTTTTTTTTGTTTGTATTTCCAGGTGAATTGATCTAAATGGTTTTATTTACTTATGTAAATGCAGTGTCCCAAACGTGTGTGTGGAAAATAGATTCTTAAAGTTTAAGGAATGCCTGCAGTGTCGCATTCAGTCCAGAAATGC